ATTGGGTATTAAACTTCTGTCGCAAATACCGGATCAAATGAAACTATCAGACAAGACTTCTTTTGTTTGGTAAAGAGCTGTCTGGCGACTGAGACACCTCTGAGAGAGAGAGAGAGAGCAGCTGATGGATAGTGACTGTTGTGCTCGAAATTTGGCCGCCATGTGCACATGGGTAGGTTTATTTGTTACTGAAGGATCATTCAAATTAAATTGTTAACTCTTTCCCTGCCAGAATATTTTGTTGAATGAATAAAAGTCTTTTTTATCAACACACTGTGGGTAAGTTTCATTAAAAATAGCAACATTTTGAACAAAAAGCTTAGAAAAACGTGTTTTTGTCAAAATCGTATTCAGAACGGTGATCGAAACATATAGGTGGAGTAGATTGAGTCCATCAACTAAGATTGCAAAGTCCTATTCCTCGTCCTGGTCGAGATTTCATTTAGGAACATTAGGCAGTTTTGATTATACTGTTTAATGTTTGATGATTACATGATGATGTTTTTTTTTTCTCAGTGTCAGGGCTTTTTTTCAGACATTTTATTTCATTACTAAGACTAGGTATACTCAAAAAAGGTACCAAAGCTGTCTCTGGGGCAGTACCTTTTTAAAATGTACACTTTTGGTACCATTTTAGGTACTAAGGTGCCAGAGAACCATTTGGGAACAAAGTGTAGCCTAGCTTTTGAAAGGATACTGCCCAAGTGATGGCTTTTTTATGAGAATGATGGTACTCTATTTTGCCGCTTTTAACACAATGCTTTTACAATTTGGGTCCAGCAGTGATTTTCATGTTCCACTCATGGTGCGCTGTGGCCAGGTCCTGTCCTATTTCTTTCCTTTAGTGAGGTCCAGACTACTGACAAACAACAAAAGATATTATTTTTAGTATATTCATAATTTAGAAGAACAAAAATTCCTCTCTACTTTGGGTTATAAGAGCTGTCAAAGAAACATGGCAGGAAGTCCTGCATAATTTAAAACTGTGCTGCGCAGCTCCGGCCCATCTTGAATGATTGTGCAATGAAACTGTGAGATTTATTTCTCCTGAGGGGATCACTAATCATTTGGGGGGCGCAGATCTTCGCTGACCACATCCTCTAAATAGAAGCTGTTTTAAAAGATTCTCACACACACATACGCACATGTACACACACCTGAACATGCATTTTTCTTCGACTTTTTCTCTCCAGTGGAAGTACTGTCTTGGGAGGATGTACGGAAGCTATCACACATTTCCTCTGTTTCTTCCTCCCCTCCTTCCCCGCAGTTTCTTCCATGGACAAGGGAGCAAAAATCAGACAGAAATGTGCAGGTTGTCTGAAGACAATAGTGTAAAGATAGGACATTAAAAGAGAGAAGAACTGCAGACTCGTTTTATTGTTTCAGGGCCCGGTGGGTTGTTAAAAACAGCCGTCCTGTGCCTCTGCTGATGTGACTGGAGGTTGAAATATCAAAGACTAAGATTCTGGTTGGTCGGTCTGTCTGTCTGTCTATCTATCTATCTATCTACAATTTCTCTTCCTAAACAACATCCTGATGTATGGTTGTAATGGATTCAACAGCAATAAATAAATAAGATCTCTAGAAAAAGTATATTCAAGTGATCAATAAAATCGTCTACTATGAAAGATTTCATCTTTAATCTCTATTTTTGAGGTGCAATGACTCTAAAAGGACAAACAAACAAATAAATAAGAAAGGCTGTTTAACACTTTCAAAATAAAGTGTTATCAGATATTAAGAGATATTAAGTCTAATTCTAATGAGAGTTGTTGTAAAGTTACTCTAAAATGGACCATTGAAATAAAGTGTTACTGAATAACAACACAGTGTTACTGTGTTACAAAATAATGAATAACTTGATCACAAGAAATGCAAGTACAGTAGATGAAGGATTTATTAATTCCATTAAAGGGTTTTGTGTTTTGGTGTGTCTAATGGACGTGCTTGTACAAATTAATAAATAAACTGGGAAAAGAAAATGGAAAAAGTTATTAAAAAGTATCTTTCGTATCTGATGTCATGCATAATCTCATTTTATTAATGACAATCCATAATAAAATAGATTGATTATATTACTCCCACTTAGCCTGGACTCTTTTATTTTGTAGATCAGGGGTAAAAAATGTTGTGTAATTTTCATTTTCAAAGAAAGTCATTTTATGTTTTATGTTTGGTTTTGATTTGAATAATTTGTTAATGCTTAAAAAATATCTTTATCTGCCAAAGAAATGCGTGGGAAATTATTCGAATATGCTTTTCCCAATGAACAACAACAAAATATATATAAAAAGTGTGGTAAAACAAAATGTGGTTTGGCATGGCTGGTGGTTGCATAGCTGAGCTGTGTGAAGGGTCATGAAGCTTTGATGTCAGAGTGAAATGTTGCCTCAGTAAACAATAACACCATACAGATGGACCACAGCACTGAAGCAAGGCCAGTGAGCCACGCTTTAATTCTGCAGCCGTCTCATAGATCTGACCTGCACACCTCCAGCTATCCATCACACCCCCACCCATGCCTCAAAACTCTGAGTATGCCGAACAGCCTCTTTCTGAGTTTCAAATGTATCTGAGGCGAACCGGAAAAATGCTGCATTGCAAATGTTTGTATTTTTTGTGTATTCTTGTTTTGCTGGCCACAAAACGTTGAATTGACAAAGCAAAAACTGTCTCCTACTGAAATGTGCATTCATCATGTGAGCTGAGCCACAGAATGATGAAGCTGCCTTACTTTGTCTTCTGGTTTCTTTAGTAAACTGTCAGTCTGAGCTTATGAGTGTTCATCCTGTTCAGTATAGGCCAGACTTTCTCTTCCATCTGTCTCTTTTCCTCTCTCCATGTTGCCCCCAGAGAATCCTCGTCTAAATGAAGTCACCGGGCAAACGAGTGCTAGTACTCAAGATCACGTTACTTAACATGCTATTTTTGGGGGGCCAAAATTAAACAAAACGGCACGGTTCTGTTTAAATAGAGTGTACGTGCATGTGTCTTTAAGAATAAATCCCCTACTGTGTTTATTTTAGTAAAGTCACATGTATAAATGGACCACTGCAGTGTGTTTTTATTAGGGGTTCTAATATCATAATTAAGTTTATATACAAGGCTTATTTTCATAGTCATTACTAGAAAAGCAATAATACTGCATGTAATGGTGGAAAGCAAGCTATGGCTGAACAGGGTCAGCAGCATTGTGGGACTTAACCCCATTATGGGTGTGTATGGAACTGTTCCTGCACCTCCACCTCACAGGCCACTCACCTCTCCAGTCTTTGTTTGGCTGGCCGGCCAGCCAGAGTATAGGCCCACCATTGTGCGTCCCTGGACCTTGGATGCTTTACCACTGTTTTCTTTGGGAAGCAGGAAATTGGATGACTGGCTACCTGCTACAACAACATCCTGTACTTGAGAAGTCATCTCTTCACTACCCACCTATTATTCTCCACAGCACTACAGTGGCGGTCACTCTTCAGACTTCTGGTGCGACTGGTCCCCACGTGGGCTGGTCTGAGTTCTGGTAAAAATTGATTTTTCGGCCCATACAAAAGCTTCCATCAAAACTTCAGGGCCAAGAGAGTTGATCCTGTACTTTCATTAGAGCTTTTGAGAGCATTCTGGAAGATCATCAATATGCTTAAAGGGATAGTTCACGTTGAAATTAATTTTTGATATGTTTTAGCGTACCTCAAGGGCATTCAAGATGTAGGTGTCTTTGTTTTCATAGTATTTTCAATTTTGATTTTTCGGTCAAACCGTTCTTGTCTGTCAGTCATATAATGGTGGTCTATGGGGTCTTCCTCTAAGAGCATGCACAGAGAAGTCCAAATTAAACACGATTTAATGACTCGTAAATGTAAGTACACATTGATGGCCTAAGATAAGAAACGAGCGGTTTGTGTGAGAAAACGAACAGTATTTATATCGTTTTTATCTCTTGTAACCACAGCCACATCCAAGTGATCTCAAGGCACGGGCGCTTCGGTCTGCGCAAGCACCGGAAAGCGCTGGAAGTGATCTCTCACGCGGTTGCGGAAAAAAATCAACATTGTCCGTTAATATATCGAAATCGTCTTCCATTGCAATTTCCTGTGTATCTAAATATGTTTAGATCTTCACAATGAAGGGTAACACTTCTGAAATCTCTGTGTAAACAATGAGTGACGTACATGCGCGAGAGATCACTTCCGGGGCTTTCCGGCGCTTGTGCAGACAGAAGCGTCCTCGCCCTCAGAGTATTTGGACGTGACTGTGATTACAAGAGGTAAAAACGACATAAAAACTGTTCGTTTTCTCACACAAACCGTTCGTTTCGTGTCTTAGGCCATTTACAAGTCATTAAGTCATGTTTAATTTGGACTTCTCTGTGCAAGCTCTTTGAGGTGGACCAATGGGTGGACCCCATAAACCTCCAAAATATGACTGACAGACAAGAACGGTTTGACCTAAAAATATCAAAATTGAAAAAAAACAAAGACACCCACATCTTGCATGCCCTTGAGGTAAGCTAAAACATATCAAAAATTAATTTCAAAGTGAACTATCCCTTTAAAAGGACAGTTGACTGAAAATTGAAAATTCATTCTTTCTTCGCTCACCTTCATGTTATTCCAGTCCTGTATTACTTACTTTCTTTTATGTTTCTTTTGTCCTTACATATTACTTTTGACCCTATTTGACTTTTATTTTATGGACAAAAACAGTTGAAACATTCTTCAAACCGTCTTGGTGAGTAAATGACGACAGATTAATTAGGTGAACTATGCCTTTTATGAGTATGAAACAACCCGTCCTTGATCTTAAATCTATCTCAAATGTATCCATGTCATGCAAGTAGTTTAAAAATCACACAGAATTGATTTGTGTTTTGATTAGATTTGCCTCCAAACCAGCAGGTGTCAGTATAAAATCATTAGTATTACAATTCAAAGGAGATCTGTAGAAAAAAAAAAAAAAACAACAAATCGTTTTTTCTTAGTTTTCAGATTTATTGACTTTTTTTTCATTTTTAAGTAACATCTGTGCTTTATTAATTTCATATAAAAAAGAAAGGTACAAAAAAAAGAGAAATGGTTTATTCTAAGAGCAACCTGACAACACCGTTTAGGGGAAAAATTAAGACATGTGATATCGATGCTTTGGGGGTTTGGCGTGATCCTAAGACCGTCCGTCTATCTGTGGAGCTTCACAGGTGGTTCTGATCAGGCTTCAGGCACCACCACCACAGTGTGAAAGACCTACATCATGCCGTCATGGCTGGAGGTCAAAGCTATTAAACCAGGGCTTGAACAGTTCACATAAATTGTTTTTACACATGAGTAATTGGGTTTTTATAGGCCTCTGATTTCAGTCGATCTGTTTATGAATGAAAGTGAAACATGTGGACTGAAAGTGGATGGTGCTTCCAAGCTGTTGAAACTCTGTTGATAATTAGTCATCTGAGCGAAGAGAGCAACAGGAAGCACGGACGCTTTTGTCCATAATGCAGTGTAACGGGATACGTGGAAGGACTAGTGAAAAAAAATCGGACGTGGTGCGTATTTGCCAGGGTGAGTTGGGTGACTGTAAATACGAGGAGACGTCTAGATCGGAGTTTTACTCAGAGCTGGGAGAGGCGGCGGAGTCCATCTCATCCGCTTCAAGGTCATGAGGAGAGGCAGGCTGTCCTCCTTTCACTCTCTTCCACTTCATCCGTCTGTTTTGAAACCACACTTTCACCTGCGAATAAAAACGTTGATGCGTTAAAACTGTCTGGAAATGATTTCGAGAATAAATGTGCACTCTCTTGAGTGATTCGAGATAATTCTGCAGCCAGCAAATCAAGAGATTTGTGACATTATTTCTGACGGCTGAGCTCCGAGGAACGCAAGCCTGTGACCCCTGAGCATCTCTCTCCCCGTGGAAACACAGGAACATGGACCATCTGTTCCCACACTATTTTTACATGCTCCTTCTCGACTGAATCTGTCTGCCACTCATTTTTGAAAGCAAAGTGTGGCAGGCGGCCAAGATCTGTAGGACGCATCGGAAAAAAGTAGAGAAAGAGTTGCAAAGGGATTCGAGAGAAGGCCAGAGTTGTGCTGGGATCTGGCATGTGATTGGGATTGGGCCTGGGAAAACCATCAAGGACCAAGCTAAGTGTGGTCTGAGCTTAACTAAAAAGATATTAAAAAAAAACAGCCTACTCCGAAATCGCTGAGGAGTGATGTCAGGGATTGATGGGATGACGGTTCTGCACCGTTATTGTCAACTTATTTAGACTTGATGAATGAGTGTTTTCTTTGCTGTTTTCAGCCAAAAATACCATATGAATCGAAGTATCTTTTGTACCTGTCTCTCAGTGAGGTCAAGATTGACAGCGATCTCGTAGCGTCGCAGGCGGGTCAAGTAGTTGTGGTGGGTAAACTCGGCCTCCAGCTCTCGAAGTTGCTCTTTGGTAAAGGCTGTTCGTTCCTTTCTAGCCTTGCAGTTCGAGTCTGCCTTGAAGCTTGAGTCCTGAATATCTGGAGGATACAAAGGAAAATAAGACTAGTTAGCATTAGTTGTGTTATCTAAGCATTCGTAACAGTAATTAAAAGAAAAATTGTCCAATTAAAGCCAAGCAGGTCCACTATTGACTGTGATTGTACAGAAATATCTTCTTTTGTGTTCCACAGATATAAATAAAAAATTTTGGTTCGGTATGAGAGTGAGTAAATGAACAGCATTTTCAAACGTCACACTAAAGTTCAGTTCCCCCAGGAGCGGTGTGTGTTTTCATGCATGTTAACTTTAAAACTCTGTCTGCATTAAAACATAGTTACAAGCCGTTTTGTGGGCCACACAGGGCAGACATTTGTACAAGGCTCAGTTCAGATCACAGGGTGCTTGAGCCCCAGTTAAAGCATGCTGGGGGTTTGGGGGTTGTCGAGGCTGCAACTGACCACAGAGGACTCAAGTTAGCAAGGAATTCGCCGGAACATTGTTAAATCCGCTAACAAAAGAACAAAGGCTTGAATGAAGTCTAAGAGTGTGTGTGAGTTTGTGTCCTACAATTCCCTGACACTAAAAAAAAGTTTTCTTTCAAAATGCACTCTTTAAAGATTTATATGCAAGATTGATAATTTACGTTACACCGATTTGTCAGTTTAATTAGATATTCCAACCTTGTGAACCCATGTACATTATATTAGAACCGGTAGCTCTGAAAGAAAGCTGATGCAATTTCTGTGAAATGACTTTAATTTGTCGATGTGAGAATTCATACTTTGTGTTTGCCAGATCTCGGCCAGACTCTGAAATGGACTGAACTGCCAGATGTGAGTGGGAAAGCGAGACAAGTACTTTCTCACATATGGCCACCTGTAGCCTCTGTTCTTTTTAGAAGGCGCGATATTATCGTCATTAAAGTCCTGTTCATTTAAATGCACTGCCGAGGGTAGTAAACGGAAAGGTGGCGGCAGGTTGGGGGAGAAACACCTGGCACTGTGTGTATGTGCGTGCACCAAAAAAACAGACTCCAATAAATTTCCCCAGCAAAAGCCCATAAACATTTAGGGAGCAACCTCCCCTCGGTGGGGTGTCTGGTGGGCATTTGGCATTTTATGTAGAAGGCCCTAAAGTCATTTGTCCAAATTAAGTCAAAATCAGTTGACAAGCTTAATTACATCAGTTTTTGGTTATACCAAACACAGTACAACAGTCATAATGCTGTCTGTAAACTTGTTCAACACATGCTGATGCTTAGATCTTTAAAAGACAACTGACAGAAGAGCAGTAAAACGTGAAATATGAGTATGTAATTCAGACATATTCATATTATATTCAAAAATTTGGGATCGGCAATATTTCTATTGTTTTAAAAGAAGTCCCTTATACTTACCAAGGCTACATATATTTGATTCAAAATTTGATTCAAAAAATAAATAAATAAATAAAATAAAAAATCTGTAATATTATGACAATTTAAAATAGCTATTTTCTATTTGAATATTTGTTTTTACATACTTTATTTCTGTGATGCATTTCTAAATTTTCAGCATTATTATTTCAGAAATCATTCTAATATGCTAATTTGATGCTAAAAACTATGCATTAATGTTGAAAACAGTTGAGGACAATTTTTGTTTCAGGATTCTTTGATTTTAAAATAGAAACTTTTGTAACATTATAAATATCTTTACTGAAACGTTTAAATTTATTTAATGCATACTTGCTGAATAAAAGTATTGATTTATTCAATAATCTAAAAAAAAAAAAAACGTTTGAATGGTAGATTATAATGTTATAAACTGTTATATGTTAAAGTTCTGCTGTTCATTTGAACTTCATCTATTTATCAAAGAATCCTGAAACTGAAATTGTTCACAACTGTTTTTAACATTGATTATAATAATGAATGTTTGTTGGGCATCAAATTAGCATCATGTGACACTAAAGACTGGAGTAATGATGTTAAAAATTCAGCTTTGCATCACAGGAATAAATTATATTTTAAAATATATTAAATAAAAAACAGCTATTTTAAATTGTAATAATATTTCACAATATTACTGGGGTTTTTTTTATTTATTTTTTCACAATATTGCAGCCTTGGTGAGTACACTCTAAAAAATGCTGGGTTGTTTTAACCCAATTTTGGGTCAAATATGGACAAACCCGAAATGTTGGGTTAAAAATGTAATGTAAAAATTTAACCCAACGGCTGGGTTAGTCCATATTTGACCCAAAGTTGGGTTAAAACAACCCAGCAGTTTTTAGAGTGTATGAGTAACTTCTTTTAAAAACATTAATAATCTTACCTATCCCAAACTTCTAAAACGGAGTATGTATATGTTTGATACATATATATATATATATATATATATATATATATATATATATATACATATATATAGTATATATCAACACTCTAAAAAATGCTGGGTTGTTTTAACCCAATTTTGGGTCAAATATGGACAAACCTGAAATGTTGGGTTAAAAATGTAATGTAAAAATTTAACCCAACGGCTGGGTTAGTCCATATTTGACCCAAAGTTGGGTTAAAACAACCCAGCATTTTTTAGAGTGAAGTTTGCTCAGTTAATATTATTAAATTCTCTTCTACTTAAGACTGTACATCCCTGTGATGTAAGAAAAACAAAAATGATGAGCACATCTTTCGTGATTCAGAATTCATTTTGGGAGCAAATATCACATCTGTTTACAATTTCATGCAATCATGAGTGTCTGCTTGTCATTTCAGGTAAAAAGAAAAAACCCTGAAAACATAATCACTACCAGATTTGATTATCATATCCTAGCCAAAACTTTCACACCTTGTGTCTTTCTATAATTTACCCCAACATTTTACAACAAATTCTGTCACATTAATGCACGCTTAAACCTCAGCCTCAGTGATGAATATTTTCATGACGGTGAATTTCTCTGCAGTCAAATGGAGAATGTGTTCTGTGGAGATCCTGTTACTGCTTAACGACAGGAAAATGTCAATGGATAAGAATGTAGAAGTGGGATCGCAGGCAAGTTATATTACAGACGTGGTCTGGCTTGTTTCGACCGCAAGTGATGTAGGGTTACATTAAGGTAACACAGAGAAGGAAAGCGTATATTTATTCCCCACATTAGACTATGAGGCCTGGATGCATTGTTATAGAGGGCCTGGTGATGGATTTGAGCGATTCATTTTTAAACGCCACTCATAAAATGTATATTGTCTTGCTGTTTTGGCCAATGCTATACAAAAGACTATTGGAGAAGAGATTATTTTCCTTCATCCCAGAAAAGCAAAGTTGTCTCATTTTCCACAGAAAGGCTGAGAGATGAAATGAATGCACCAGATGTGCCACAAACACTGAGGTTCACTTTTCCTTCTCTCCGAATAGTGTGAAATTGCAAGTAAGGAGAGTGTGTATTACTAAAATGATGTAGATTTATTAATTTCTGGACATCATTATTGTAGGAAACGCAAAATGTAAGAGATTAAAAGGGGTGAATATTTTAGTCAAAAGATGGGTTCAAAACCTTACATTTTGATACATAGAATACTACTGCACAGCTAAATGTCATTTTATTTGTAATAAAAAAGATCTATGATCAAAAATGTCAGTAATATGACACTTCTGATACTGGACACAGGATATCCAGGTGCCATTAGATTGCATTAATATGATTATTAATACATAGAGCACCTAGAGATTCATAAACAGTTTATCACCATTAAATCTGAATATTCAGTTGACTTTCACATATCCGAATCAAAATAAATAGTTTAGAAAATCAGATCTGGGTTGAGATGGGTGTGTCAGATGTTACTAAATGTTAAAACCACCAAACTGATTAAAACAACAGCAAAAAGCTGAACTTTACCTAAGAGCCTCCAACAATTGAAGGAAACAACTGCAGAATAATAACGGAATAATGTGTTAAGGGTCATCCTTCATGTGCAGGCAAGTAAAATCTATTATATTCTTAAAGAACAATTTAAACTCGTCATCCAAAACCTTCTTTATTCTGTAAAACACAAAAGAATATAGATTGAAAAAGTGTTTTTTTCCTATACAATGAAAGCCAGTGGGGTCCAGTGTTGTTTTGAACCCCTATTCGACTTTCATTATAAACACCAACAAATATCATTTTTCAAAAACATCTAATTTGTTGTGTGTTCCGCAGAGGAAATAAAGCCATGCATGTTTGAAATGACATGAAGTTGAGTAAACGATGACATCATTTTCAGTTTTGGACAAACTCCTGATATCACTATCCCCACAGCTACAGTGTGTTTAACCAGATACACTCTGAGCACAAACCTACCAACCCTTCCACTGATTTTAGATACTGTCTTGTAACAGGCAAAAAAAAATGAGAATGTTCAAATGAGCCGGAGTAAACCATCACTTCAACCTCTCATTCCCTCACCTGTGATTTCTCTTTTCCGCTTGGAGCTTTTTTTCTCTGTGTCGACGGCTGGCACACTTTGAGGCGAATACTCTCCCTCTAGACATGCTGTGACTGCTCCAGGCAGCCTGTGTCCCCCTTCACTGTCCATTTCAGCTCCCACTGCTTCTGCCGCCCCCTGGCACGGCTCCTGCCCTCTGCCTCTGGGCTCACAGGGAGAGAACTGCCACTCCGTCCGCTGGTACCCGCCGTGTGTCTCCGGATACAGTCTGTCCTCGCGCGGATAAGTGTGCGGCGCCGGCACCAGGCAGGAGCTGGAGAAGTCCGTGTAGGCCAGGAAATCGTGCTTCTGGTGCAGGGCGAATGGGGCCTGCTGGTAGGGCTGCAGCCCGGCCCCGGACCCTCCCGAGTGAGGGCTCCTGACGCAACCCCATAGAGCGCCGCCCGCGTGAGGGCTCCGCATGCAACTGCTGGCTGGCTGATCCATGCCGAAGAGCACGCAGCACAGAGTAGGTGTCCTCAGAGATGCAGCTTTTTGGGTTTGGTGCAAGTCAACCTGGGAAATATCCACTTCAGCAGCATGTGCACACAAACACCTTTGCGAAAATCAGTAAGCAGAAGTATGAAAGCAGACACCTTCCTACAGAGGCCACTCAGGTGTAACACGTCAGCTCACACGCTCTCTGTCTCTCATTCAGCTTTCAGGCTGACCCACTACATCCACTCTCAGCTCTACAAGCTCTTTTCACAGTTCTGAGGCATTCCTGACAAGCAGTCCCTCCTCCTTTTTAAACGCTTAGGTGGGAAAGAGTAGCAAGTTTATGGAGTGTAACGTGAGCTTGCAGAGGAGGAGTCCTGTGGTCCACATGTTGGTACCCCCCAACCCAGCCCTGCCTCATATACTATTAATCATGGGGGATTTTATATGCACATCTAATGGGATTTCCAGGTGCTGGCTTTTAAAGGAACATTGTCTGTAAAATATAAAATGAACACCCACACAGGGAAGTTGACCGGATCCTTTTTGGCTTCTTTTATCCCCAAACCCCCCAATTTCACTTCTCCAAATTTTTGGTGGGAACCACATCGTACGGGCCGTGCTTTACCCTGGCGTAGTCTGTGTGTGTGGACGTGTGTGGCGACACAGCCAGGGATTTCTCTCACACTGACTTAGGCGGTGCTTTCTTCAACACCTCTCGTGCGCACAAGCCCTAATAGACCAAACACACAAACATGCTGTCATTAATTTTAACACCCAATTAGTCTCATGAGCATCTTAATTGTCTGAATAATTCACATGATAAATAAAACATGGCTTGTTTTAAAAATGCTGTGTAAACTGTAAACAGAACCACATGATAACGTTTGAATAATGATGATCAGCTATTAATTAATTTACAAATCATTTTCCAAATTTCAGTTTTACAGTGTTTTTTTTTTCTCATCAAGGCTGCATTTATTTGATCAAAAATACAGTAAAAACAGGATTATTGTGACAACTTAAATTAACTGTTTTCTGATTTTATTCCTGTGATTGCAAAAATGAATTTCCAGAATCATTACTCCAGTCTTCAGTGTCACATGATCATTCAGAAATAATTCTAATATGCTGATTTGGTGCTCAAAAAATATATATATATTATTATAAATGTTGAAAAAAATTGTGCTGCTTATTTTTTTTTTTTAATTCGGAAACAGTGATACATTTTGTCAGGAAATGAATAGAAAGTACAAAAGACAATTTATTTGAAATAGGAATAATCTTTTTTAAAGATGATTAAATAATTTTTTAATGTCATTTTTGACCACTTTGTGTCCTTGCTGAATAAAATAATAAGAATTTTCTTATATAAACAACTTTTGAACAGTTTACCAATTATATTATGTTATATTATTAAAGTGTCAACATATAATTTATACTTTAAAAATAGCAATAATCATTTTATTTGCTCATTAAATTAGAGATAATCCATGTTTCAGATTGAAGAAGAAATATATATTTTAAACAACGGCATGCTTGGTTTTATATAAATGATGACAGATAAATCAGTCACTGCATGCCATCCATATTACATATTGTTTGCAATCATGCATGCAGTGTATGATCCAAATGTGAAGTCATTTCTCCTGTATTCTAGTCATGCGTTTGCTCTGGCAAGCGCTCTATTTAACAGATTTCACTTGACATTTCAATGTGGTTGAGGTTGGAATCTCGAGTTTTCTCTTTCTACGCGGTCTGTATAACAAGTGATGGAAAGCAAACATGTTCAGTTGCATTTCTAAGAACTGTGGTCTGTGGTTATTTTTATTGTTGCTTTGCTTTATCCTTTGTGTGATCCTGACATCTGTGAATAGCACAGCCTTCACCCTAAACTAAAGCAACGTAATCTTTAAAAGGTCTGAGGTAAGACTGCAATCCTTTCCCTTTACCCAGCAAATAGCTGAGCCATGAAGCATCCACCTCTTTACTGGCAATCTGGTCCCTATGACCACAGGGGGCTGGGGTTAGACAGCATTTGCGTTTAGATGGACCATCTGTGCGAGAGTTTACGTTTTCTTTCTGTGTGTGTGTGTGTGTATGTGTGTGTGTCAGTCCATGCACATTTTGAGTCTTGAAGTAGTCACTGCTCCATGCTTAAACCTGTTGCCGTCAGTCGGCCAGGGCAGGTTGGGGGCAAAGAGGGTGTTTTTGTGTTTTCATTTGATCCATCTTCATGACACCAGAGAGAGTAAGAAGGATGAAAGAGAGTCCTAACGGAGCACCGGCCCGGGCCAGGCTTGGGTCAGAGAGCAGTGGGAGAACAGAAGAGATTCAGACCCTGCTGCTGAACACTTCATTTACTGCTTCCGCCAAACTGTGAGACACACTCTCTCACACAAAAGCAAAACACACTCACATGTGGTGCTGAACTTTTGTTTGAACTGAGATGACCATCAAGTGAAATGATTGACAGTATGGTTTAAAATACATTCTCCTTAAAATACTTGCATAAAAAAAAAACATTTCTGATATTACCTTAATATTTTCCAAATGCAAATAACTTATATATATATATATATATATATTGCAGTTAGTTGATTCCACTTGTTTTTCCCCCAAATACATATGTGAAATATATTCCATAGTCTGATGCAGTGATTTCATTTGTCTGATGACACTTGACACTAAGTCTGTTGTGAGTTGAAGGAAAAACTAAATCGTGCTGCGCTCTAGTGGTTGCTGAAGACAATTCTTAAAATCTCCCATAGTATTTCATGTTCAATAATCACCGTATAAGTTTTTCTTTCTTTCTTTTATTTTCTTTTATTTTATTACTCAGTTATATTTCCTAAGAATTTTTATGCTGTCTTTCAAGCAAAGATTTGAAAGGTACCGATAAGTTTGGAAAACACGTAGGCCTATTTCAGAAACAGACTTTTTTTTTCTCATTATAATTGAATACATTTTGAATTGAATACATTTATATATATATATATATATATATAGGCTATATGTATGTATTTTGTGGTAAATAACATAGGCCTATTACTACTGTTAACATTTTTATACAGGTTAAAATTAAAACCACCCTAGCTTAATGTTTTAAAGTCTGCATTGAGGATGCCAGACAGAAATAATGTTTCCATATTAGGTTATCCTACATAACAAACGTTTTGTTTATGCGACTTCAGTCAGCATGGGCAGATATTTCATAAGTAACCTAATCTGTTTTTGATATTTTGTAATAATGCTGTAACGACGATTGTGGTTGACGATTGCATGTTAGCAACACTAAAAAGTTGCCTATAAAACAACACACATCTATTGTGAATTCGTTTTTAACTGCATTTACATGTTCATTCAGTATATTTTTATATGACAGCATTTGGCTATTAATAATTAGCCTATGGCCTACTTTGAATAGGCCTGCGTTTTTTTAACCGATCAACTTTTCGTCATGTTCGCCACGTTGGATATCTCGATTTTTCAGAGTGAGCTGCAAAGAATGATAAACATTACAGCCTAAAATTACTTTAATTAACACATTTAAAAAGTAAAATTGTAATTATTCTAAAAAAAAATGGCTGTCATTTACACATTCATTCCACTGTATTCATGTGTTACACTTGCCATAGGCTAAATCTGAAACATTGCACATGCTTAAAGGGTTAACGTTACATTCTCTTGCAGTATGGACGAACACGATTTGCTTGATGATAGCTCTACCTACTATGAGCAAAGTTTGCCAAACATCACCATGATTTTGAGGCGGAGGAAAAGAGTAATCATTGCAGCCTGTGCATATGCTTCTATTGTTGTGTGAGAGAGAGATCTCAGGACTGGTAGGTATTGTGTTTAAATATTGGCTTTAACGGGGAACAGTGGGTCCGAATTATTAGGACGAGCAAGCTAAGCAAGCTATATTATGTCGTCCACATTCCTCCGACGGACACGACGACATGTTTCTCCGGGCCAACCGTCCTTTTGCAGATGCGCGTGTCAAAAGCACAGATAGTGAAAGACGGTCAAAGGCCCACTGTCTGAAAACCTGCCTATTGCGTCGTTGAAAACAAGCTGGTAGACGTGGAACATGACAGCAAACAAATCTGTATCAGTGGCAATGAAGGATTTTGCAAAGTTATTTATTTCAATATTCTGTTGTGAAGGCTACATCAAATTCCAATCTGCGTCATTGTGAGTAAAGAAATATCTGAATTTTTATGCCAATGTAATGTCTAACCCTCACATCCTCGTTTTTATCTGCCTTATATGGTGTCTAACCTGAATGAGGTCAATGCTGCCTTGGAATCAGCTAATATGGTTTACCAACTGCCATATAAAAGAAGAGGAATTATGCTAAAATGTATATATTGGTATAATGTCCCTTTGGAACAGACGTGGAGAATGTGTTGCATCTGTTGTGCCTTAAAATGCTGCAGTAGAAAGCTCACTAGATTTAGGCCTAATGGTGTCTCAGACCAACTTTGTTTTCACTTCAACTTGACCGTTCTCAAGGGGCAGTGTCTGAGTTTGCTGGGAAGAGCCAAGACTCCTGCGTGGTGTGTTCATGGAATACCTTCCTGTGGATCCCGTCCTGTCCCAAACATCCAAGGGCAGGACTTCCTGCTGTGCAGCTCGGGGCTTTGAAACCGAGGTCCAAACTGCTCTCCAGAGAGTTCTCAGGATCAGGCTTCCACATACTCCAACAAGCCAAAAGGGAACAGTCATGGAAAACACCTCCTATGACACCAGCCATTCTCCAGTTTACATGACATGCAAACTCACACATGCGCAAACACCCTAAACTTAGCTCTCAATCCTATTTTTATACTCTTTTTTGTTCACACTCTTGCATATGCGCACACATTTCTGTAGACTACATGCTGTATTTTTCAAGACAAACACCTGATTTCCCAGCAGCATGTTTCAGTTCTCTTTTTGGTAAATCGGTTGATTTAATTTAAAACTTGTCTCTTTGAAAAACGCAATAGTCAGGATATGTTTTTCACAGTCTTTAATGTTTCTGTTATGGGAGTCAATAGAGAACATCTGCAAGTTCCCGATAATTGTCTTAGTCATACGAGGAAGGTTTCCAGTGGCTCTGCTTAGCATTTGATGTACTCTCTGTTTAACTCTCTGTTTAAACTGTGACTCAGTGAGGTAAAAGAATAATGTTTATATAAAGATTGTGTGTGTGTGTGTGTGTGTAGTTTGACCAGTTCACAGATCACTATAACAATTTTTCATAATTTATGCCATTATGGTGCTCGGATAAAATTATTTTCTTCACTTTAAGACAATCAGAAAGAGCTTGTCT